CAGGGTCTGGAAGGGAAGGGGAGGCCAGGCTCTCCAAGATGATCTGGGTATTATGTTAGGGCGGATGCTGAAACAATGGAAGGATTCATGGAAACTCCAGCGATTCTAGATACAGGAGAAAGAAGTGCAATTGTAGATGGGCCACTGGGACCGGCAGACAGAGAAGGCATGGGGTGGAGGGGAGGGAAGAGGAGGTGGGAAGAGAGAGAGAGAGGAAAGAGGAGAGAAGGAGAGGGGGAGGGAGAGAGAGGAAAAGAGAGGGAGAGACACAAGGAGAAAGAAAGGAGCAAGAGAGAGGGAGAAGGGGAGGGAGAAGGGGAGGGAGAAGAGGAGAAACATGTGTGCACATGAGTGCACACATACATACATACATGCACACACACACACACACAGAGAGAGAGAGAGAGAGAGAGAGAGAGAGAGAGAGAGAAGAGATACAAGGAGAAAGAAGAAGTAAGAGAGAGGGAGAAGTGCAGGGAGAAGGGGAGAAACATGTGAGCACACTCGAGTGCACACATACATGCACACACATGAGAGAGAGAAAAAAACAGAGAGAGAGAGAGAGAGAGAGAGAGAGAGAGAGAGAGAGAGAGAGAGAATGAGAACACTCACGGCATCTTTACTCAAGAGATGACCACAGGAAATGTTACTGTAACTATTCTTGTAGCATTAGTATCCAAGGGCACCAGTAAACTTCAAGATAAAGCGATAGGACTACCCACCTATGTTACAGTGCTTCCTGCCGATATATTCTGGGAAGGCCCCGAAGACCACTAACCTTGGTGAGCACTTAGTATGTGGCCTGTGCCCATGACATCCACATGGCCCCAGGGATAAGGGTAAATGCCACTGCCATTTATGGGCCAGGAGAGAGAAAGCCCAAAACATACTTCACCCAGAGCACCCAGCTAATAAGTGGGCAGAGCAGAGACAAAATTACAGAGCAGCCGATGGGTTGGTCAGCTGAGATGGCTTGGACAGGATGAGAGCTTTGAGAGTTATGTTCTGATGAGGAGAAAAAGGAACGCTCTGTGTCGACATTTTCCTGATAAGGAGGGTTGTTCCTAGTACCCAGCGTATCTGTATACCGCTGGCACCCTCTTATCTCTCTCTGCTGGACATGGCTTGGGTTGTGTGTGTGTATTTTGGACTCGCTCATTGGAACTGTGGCAAAGTTGGAGAGTTCAGAAGTCTTGGCACTTTCTAGGTGGTGTTATGTAACGGAGATGGAGCCTGGGTTGGATCAGGGACCTGGGCTGAGTTCAGGAGAAGTCACTTATTAACTATGAGACTGGTCAAGTTACATCACCTTGTGGTGCCAGTGCTTTGTCACCAGAGGGAGGCTCAAACGGGTGACCTTATAGGGACTTTCCTTGACTCCATGATTCAGCCCACATTGACTTGAGTGTTTATGCCTGTGACTTCCAACAACATACATTGGAAATGACCCATAGTCAGCAGATTTATGTAGGCAAGATGGCTAGATAGCTCAGATGATGTGTTTGTTAGATATGCTGAGTGTAGAAACGTGTCATTTGACGCCTGTGTTTCTCCCCTTGCAAGAGTAACCTGGAATGGAAAGGTTTAAAGTACCCTTAGCCTGGTGTTCATCTAGAATGTATTCAACTCCTCCGTCAGACAAAATGAGCCCAATCTGAGCTTTGTGTCCTATCAGTTTCTTGACCTTCTCTTCCTCCTTTTGTGCTTCCGTAAATTGGAATTGAAAATGAATACCAGGCACGGTGCCGTCAAATGCTTGGCATTTCGGAAGAATATATATAAGAAGCCCTAGTTGTTGATATAGCTGGTGTATGTGTTGGGGGGGGGCGTCATTTGGTTTGGCTTATGGTTGGCTAAAAATTTAAAAGACATTTCTTCACAGAGAGATGGAGCCTGAGATCAAAACCCCCAAACACTGGGAACTTGCTATTACCCAGGAAAGAAAACTCAAGAGTGGCGGACAGAAGCATAATTGCTCTGTCAGGACCCTCCTGACAGTTCACCCTTCCGCGCCGATAAATGCCTGAGAAGGAATATCTGAAGACAGGCAATGCCACAGGCACCTGGGAAGACCCCGGCCATTCATAGCCTTCATTTCTCATGTCTTGACTGGCCTATTTCCCACCTCTGCCCTAAGGTGCCTAGGGAACAAAGAAGCTGGGAGGAGAGATAGCTGGTTTTATGCTAGTCACTGGCTTTATGTGTTTCTCAAACTAAAAATAAATAAATAAATGAATAAATAAATAAATAAATAAAATCTTTAGATAACCAACTTGTAGCCATTCTGTCGGTTTCAACACTGCCTCCTGCTGCCCTCCAAATCTTGTTCCCCTCTCCCCATTTCTACCAAGTCCATACTTTCTCTTACCTCCCACCTCCTTCTCCTTTGTTCCCTAGCCATTTGTAACTCCAATTTGTAATTTGTAATTCCTTCTCCAATTTTTGGTTTAGTGCAGTGAGACTGATGGAGAACCTTGGTGGAGAAGAGAAAGGGAGTAAAAGGGCCAGATTCAAACCACCAGCCGTGTGTGTGTGTGTATACATGTATATACGTGTGTATACATGTGTATTTGTGTGTGCACACGTGTATACATGTATATATGTGTGTGTGAGTGTGTGCATGTATATGTATGTACATGTATGTGTGTGTACATGTATATACGTGTGTGTGTGTGTGTATGAGTGTGCCTGTGTGTGTGCAGGTATGCCTGGAGGCCACAGAACAGTTTCTGGCTCTCATTCCCCAGGCACTGTCTGCCTTGTGTTTTTTACAAACATCGTCCCTTGGTAGCCTGAGACTTGCTGACCCAGGCTGACTGTCTACCTGTCCCAGCCTCCCCAGTGATGGAATTACAAGCACGCTCAGCTCTTTTTAGAGGTAGGTTCTGGGAATTCGATTCAGGGATTCATATCTGTACGCCAAACACTTTAGAGACTGCGCCGTCTCCCAGGCCTGGGTTTGTCTGTTTTCTATAAGTGAAGTTACCAAGCAAAGCTAGCAATGCTCCAAATGTGTCTAGCCATTTTCCAAGAGAAAAGCCAAAGCCAGCTGATACCCAAGAAAGCAAAGGAAAGGCTGACTGCTAACAGTAATTACTGTTAGTGACAGCTTGCGAAATCTAAGGTTCTTTTGGGCTCCAACATTACATAATCTAGAGTGTAATTTGACTACTTTAAATAAATTATAGATTGATGATTGTCATATTGATTATTTTTTATGGCATAGCATTTATCACAGCTAGCCATATATCAGTTAATGGTGAAGATCTGGCTTGTAATGGCATCTCCCCAATAAGAACCATAGAATATGATCTGTCTTGGAATGATCTAGAATTTAGATCATTCTAAATCCTAGATCCTTTATTGATGATCAAGTTCTTATAAAATAGCATACAACTACCTCTTAATTGATTAAAGATACCCCTTAACTAACTGTGCTTTTGTAAGGCTATTCGGTGAGCTGGGGCTGTCAGTACTTGACAAAGGGTTTATCGAGAGGGTCACCTTTGTAATTTGTTCCCCACCTTATTGTTAGTGACTCTGTGTTTAAAATTCCCAGAGGATTGACAATTGTTACAAATTATCCCTTAGAAACAGACCAAAGGAGGATATACAGCTGCAAGAGATGCTCTCAGCTGAAGTGCACTACAAATACAAACTACAAATATCTGAAACTTTAGCTCCTGATCCTTTTCGAACTTTGGTTGGGATTTATCTATTATGTATCCAAACTTATACACTGTACATAGAAAATCTCAGGCACACTGAGGAGTTGAAGGAGGAAGGTACTTTGAGGCTCCATGTCACATTGTAGCCTTTTATCAAAGATATTCTGCCCAGTGACAGCTTTTGGGCTTTGATGCCTTGTAAGCAATAGGGTATCTGCCTCCATGGTCCTCTGGACCACCATGCCTGGAAGCAACTGGACAAACTCAGTTAGTTTGAAAGTCTATATCCTGATTGTCTCCAAACACTCCTTTGTCATCTATGCAGGTGAAAACTTACACTTGGCATATGGAATTCAAAATAATCTCACACAACAGAAACCACTGGATTTCTTAGGAAAGTTCTAAGGGTCCCCAAATCAGCCTTTGGACATACAAAAAGATCATGATTTATTCTTCACCTTTTACATATTGGAATGTTTAACATCTTGCCTCTTAAATCTGCTTGGAAACTTCTTAAGAATCAGAGATCCTACCCCCACAATCAAGATCGATCTCTCTCTCTCTCTCTCTCTCTCTCTCTCTCTCTCTCTCTGTCTGTCTATGTATATCTTTAACCAATCCATGCTGGGAAATACCTATTTACTTAAAGAGTGGATTCTATTGGAACTGCTGCACCACTGAGTGTTCCTGGGTTATCTGTAGTTACTGAGTTAAACAACTCATTCAACTTTTCTTGGCCTCAGTCTCCCTGTTGAAGAAGAATTTTTCAAATAAGAGTTTATGTTTTAGATTAAGACAAATCTTGTAAGAACAAAACAACCAAAAGTTTTGCACACCACAGTGTGTGTATACATGTGTGTGTATGTGTGTGTGTGTGTGTATGTATATATATTTGTCCATTTATATGACACACATAAATGTAGAATAAAAACATAATGGACAGAACCCAATCTTGACACATGCTCAACAAATGTCCACTACTATTCTACGAACTGTTCTTTATCCCCTAAAGGCATAGATGAAGATGAGTCAAATCTGGGTGTCCATTCCTGACACCCAGATGCTCAGGATCCTTAACCACCTAACACCATTTTGATTTTCTGGTTAGAATGTCCTACAGGAAGGAAAGAGGGGGCACACAAGGTTCATTTTAGGGCCATTTTCCTTGAAGAGAAAGTAGAGTGACTTCAACAAACAATGGATTCAAACCATATAAAACAGCAACATCCAATTTTTTTGAGACAATCCGACTAAGAAGCCTGCTCTAGAACATCTCAGCATCAGAGGATATACCACTCATCTGTGCTTGTGCGCATGCACGGAGATACTGACCTGGCTCGTTGGAAGTGAAGAACAGGAGTTCCTGCGCACAGTTCTCACCTAGAGAATAGAGAGAAACACAGTTGAAATCCCTCTGCCTGCCAGGAGCCCACAGGAACTCATTTTTTTTTTTAAACAAAACAAAACATACTTTGTATCTTTCTCCACACCGGAGGATGCTCAGAGTCTGCCTGACTCCAGTTTACGCTATGTGTACACTGGTATTTCTCTGGGTCAAGTGTCTCCTGAAATAGCTATGTTAACATTTTATAGCATTCACAAAGGTATATTTCTGTGCATTTGGGGGATGATACAGAAAAAGCACTTAGCCACAAATAGATGAGAGGCACAAGGAAAACTCACAGGCTTTCTCAAACAGATAAAGGAGTGAAAGATTTTTTTCCCCCTTCAAAATATCATTTTAAAATACCATCTTAACCCCAATGCAATGAATTCTGGTCTCTCTCTCTCTCTCTCTCTCTCTCTCTCTCTCTCTCTCTCTCTCTCTCTCT